TTCTAGCAGTTCTAACCTTTACGGCTAAGAGCCGCCATACTACGTACACTGTACCAAATCAGCGTCATTAGCATCGTATTCCATTGGTAACATGAAAGTTCCACTTGAGCACCTTTTTTTTCCCACGAACCACTACTTTGTGGAACAGACGTCCAAGAGGATGCTTTCCGAATCACTAGAATCAACTTTTCAAGTCTAGGTTTAACCGTTATATCCCCTACATAGACTGTGCTTCTAACTCTGTAACCCACTACAACCGAGTGACTCTCGGGCCTTGTACAGAGCGAGCACCATTGTAAAAAAAAAATCAATGAGAGATAGAAGGCTCTATGCAGGGAAATGCGCCTTTTCCCTTCTTTTCTATAATTATAAAAGTTTTCCGTTTCGTAAAGTGTTTGAATAGTTATTAGTTAAGCATGGATTAGTTTTGACATGAAGTAACATTTAAGTAGGCAATTCTACAGATTCGCAAAAATATGAGCATACAATGATGAAAAAAATTAATTATAAAGTTTTATAGTCAAAATCTTTATGTTAATATTAAGAGGGAAGACCACAGGCTTTTTTGATTATTAAATTATATTTTTGAACCTTTCTAGAACATTAAAAAAACTGGTTAAAAATCTTGTTTTTCTAGCGCCAGCGAATGTCAAAGATTAATGTAGAAATTTTAGCGTTTTTCTTGCGGTGAAAAATACAATGATTTGGAAATTCTTGTAAAAATCAAATAATCCTCGGATTTTAATGAAACTTTCAGAATTTACGGATAAATGAATTTAATTAATTTATAAACCTTTCTTTTTTAGAAAATCTTAGTAAAAATATTTTATTTTTAACATCTGTAAATAATAAAACAACAATAATAAAGTACTATTTGTTTCAAATATGATTAGTTAAAGTTTAAATCAGCTAAGATTCTTCGAATAAAGTTTCAGAAAATTATATTTTATTTTTGACGGAGTTTTTAATAAAAAGAATTTCATTGTGCTGTCAAATGACTAAAATTGCGCTGATGTCAGCCATTTTTAACGATAAAATATTGTTCCAGTAAATTTAAATTGATTTGGAAAAACCGCTAAATATTTTGCATATTAGAAATATTAAATTTAATCAACAAACCAGAAATTAAAACTAAAATTAAAGCTTCAAGAAAGATTTTACATTTTTTCAAAAATTCATTTTAAGCCTTGGGTAAGACATTTTGTGGAGGTACCTACGTTTATAGAGTAGCCAGTAAAGATCGTGTGTCACAACAGTAATAATGACATACAACGCCACAATGTTGTAGGAAGATCTTTGAAGAAGAGCTATCATGAAACACAACATATCTAAAAAAAACAAAAAATTGAAATAATCAAGAAAATTAATTAAATATATGTAAATATCAGATTATTAAATTCATCAGTGTTTTGATTTGGATGTCTGTTTTCAGGGTTTACTTCGGGACATTTCGTTCGTTAAGCGGAAAACTCATGCCGTGCGTTGTACCATTAACATAAAGGTTTACAGAGCATTTAACCGGACAATTACCTCGCACGTGTAATTCGTCACGTACTCAAGCAAGAATCGAGGGAGCGGTGAGGAGACCATATAAGGCAAAAGCGAATTCATTAAGGATTTAATACATTTACCTTTTTTAAACGTCTGCCTGGATGTGGACGGGCGGGTGTTAAAGCGGTACTTGGCCGGACCGAGATGAAGAGAGTATGGGTTAGCAATTGCAATAAATAAAGCTTTATTTTCCATTATATATATAGGTGGTATTCGAGGATAACGCGTCCACGAGGGCGGCTAGCCAATCCCTATTGCAGTCTCTTGCTTATATATATATATATATATATATATATATATATATATATATATATATATATATATATATATATATATATTGAATATTTGGTGTTAAATATAACGGAAAGAGAATATCTGTGGAACCTTTTGTTAAGTTTCACCTTAGGTCGAATAACTTGTTTAATGTCAGGTTTAACGGACATTTCCTTTCTGTTGTTTAATAGAGTATATTTAAATGAATGATCCCTCCTCTCTCTCTCTCTCTGTATCTGTCTCCGTCTGTCTGTCTGTCTGTCTGTCTCTCTCTCTCTCTCTCTCTCTCTATCTATATATATATATATATATATATATATATATATATTCTCGGTAATGGATGCACACTGCTGATGAGTCCTAAATATATCGAAATGGCCGTCCAGTGCATTCTGTTGAAGATTATTTTGTGCTCGATGAATTACTATATATATATATATATATATATATATATATATATGACGGTTCACATTAATGTTACAGGTTTGATTTCTGTCAGAGAACGCATATTTTCTATGAAATTTTCGAACTTTCAAAGACTGTCGATGTAATTAATACTGTTTAATTAAAAAATGGAGCATTTACTTAAATAAATTAAATCTATAAAAATAACGTATAACCAGAAAATATATTGAATAATTTATAAACATTTAAAATTCTGTATTAATTTGTAGCGGTCAAATGATACAAATTAAAATAAGACTGTATTTAAAAATCATAAAAGTCAAAGCTTGCTACAATTCATCGACCTCCAGTATTTTAAAAAGAATTTTGATTTTTTGTGTCTGTGTGTATTAACATGCCAATCTTTTTGAATACAGATGTAAATATATCAGAAAATATGAGTGGTAACTATAGTGAATTTTCAATCTTCTGATATTTTTTTTTAATTAGAAATCTTAAAATGATGCTCTCGAAAAAGTGGCTCTAAACAAAAATTACTACACATGGAGTCATTAAAAATAGTAAAATAAATGGACCCAGACATAGTAAAATAAAGGTTATATGGTTTACCTATCCTATACTACTAATATAAACATTGGTCAATACTTTCTGAAATAGACTGACAAAGTTTTTAACCAAAATAAACCTAGTAAAAATTTTAATAGAAAGACATTAAAAATTAGCTAATCCTACACAAATAACATCTATAATATCATTCACATAATAATAAAATATTAAACAAATTTTATACCAATAACCAACCAGATAACAAACCATCTTGTAACTGTAGAAACATTGTTATAGAATCTGTACTCCGTTGACATAATGATTTTTCAAAATCACGCACGAGCGCGTTCTGTTATAGTTATTCTAGAATTTTTAAATTTATCTGTCGGAGTAATGGATTTTTTTTTTTTTTAACAAAACTAGCTGATTGAGAATTTATATTGAAACAATTGGCGGGGAGCTTATATTGAAAAAGTCGAAAGTACGTGGGTTAACAAAATCTACGGCGTTTTCCTTGATGAATTTCAACTCACCATCAAGAAACAGATTAGACAAATGGAAAATATCAATATAAAAATAAGTAGATACAATATATCTATATTATTCAAAGAAAAATAGTTGAATGAAGATATACTGCCTAAATATATATAGATATGTGTGTGTGTGTGTGCTTGTGTGTGTGCGTGCGTGTGAAATGTGTATGTATATAGATATAAATATATATATATATATGTACAATTTTTTATATATATTATTTATATATTATATTTGCGCCCAATATCAGTGATAGAGCTAACATATTTAGTTGGACCAATCCAACTGTATATATATATATATATATATATATATATATATATATATATATATATATATATATATATATATATTCTGTTTATACGATATTTTTATAGATAACGTTTATTTAAGTAAATGCTCTGTTTTTAATTAAACAGTATGAATGACATTTACTGTCCTGAATTTTCGAGAAATTTCGTAGAAAATATGCGTTCTCCAACAGGAACCGAACCAGTATTCCTATACGGAAACCGTCATTTGATCTGACGTGCTATACCATTTAGCTACAGAGAAGCATCTGGTTAGCAAAGTCCAAATTACTGTTTTTAAACACACAATCTTAGACTATTTTTCTCAGTCGATTATATCTGCTCACGAATGGTATCTTAACGTAAACAATGATAACAGTTCAACAATTATTTAATTTTTTTTTTACCTGTTATTTGTATAGATACAATTTAAGTAAACGCTCTGTTTTTATTTTTAATTAAACAGTATTAATTACATTTACCAGAATGAATTGTCTTTGCTAACTGGATGCTTCTCTGTAGCTAATTGGTATGTGTTGAAGGTTCTTGTCGATATAAATACGATTTTCTTTGGTTTCGATTTTAATAATAATTCTATTTTTTTCTTGTCAAAATTGAATTTTTTCTATGCTGAAAAAGAAGAGAAAGACGAGTCTTAAAACACTTACCAATCTTCATTTCCCGCCAATCTACATGGAATCCATTTTCTTAACTGTTGGTTCTTCTGAGGACTTGTAGACGATATATTGGAATTGATCGATTTTAATAAAATGCTGATTAAAATTCAAAGATGTTCTCTAAGATTTCTCTAAAATTTTGTAACTTTTACATCAATTTAACAGAATAAATTCTGCTGATACCTCTATTTTTGTGTCACTGAATAATGGTTTTAGACACCTGCCTCGAGTCTTTTTACAATCATTGCATTTTTGTACGTAACCTGATGTTTGATGTCATCAGGTTCGGAAAGACTGGAGTTTTCTGACCCAAAGATAATTTTTCTTAACTAAAAAAAAAAAAGAATCGTAATCTGCTGTAATGGGAGTTTAAAGCAGTTAAAATTTATCGAGTGTCAGGAAGTGAATTAGTAACATTCGATCTTCGTACTATGGCCTCCAGAAAGGTTAGATGCTAAATGCGAAAACCCGTTCGGAATTACACTCATTTACCTTTTCTAAAATCAATGAAAAGTCACCGATTTGACATTGAATGATTTGCAGAAAAAACTGCAGATTCAAGCATTCGATCCTCGCTGCAGCGTCGACGAACCCCCCGTTAAGTGTAACTCGCCTGAGAGAACGAAATCTCTGATTTCGATTCAGGACTTGTGGTATTCTTCGAGAATACATAATACCCACCTCGCTGTAGGATATAGCAAGTGGCTGTTGTAACATGACTCACAACATGAAGAAGGAGAAGCAGTCGTCGTATTATAGTATGCAAACTGTACTGTGGATGGTCGATAGTGGCTGTTAAAAGTGGTAAGAGATATTGATAGACAGATAGAAGGAAAGAATAAAAAAGAGTGAGATTAACACGCATATCAGTTCAATTCTTTTACAGTGTGTTTTTTTTTTTTTTTGTATTTTGTCCTTTTTACTCTTTTATGGACGAATTGCTCAGTAAATGTCACACTTGTATTTTCAAAAGTCAAGTGTCTCACTTCATTCATTCCTTGTGTTAATTTTTCTCGCTAAACATTAAGATGTAAACTCAAAATTTTAGATCATTATTATTTCCATTGTTTGTACCATTTAGACCAATACAAACTGGTTAATGTTGAACGGTAAAGACAACTACCAAATGACCGCCATTATGTCAAGGCAATGCCATAGAGAATCCAGCGTTGTACCCGATAATCTGCTAGATCTAAAAATAAATTTATAATCTGCTAGATCTAAAAATAAACTGATTAAAGTCGAAACCGAAACTATTTTTTACTTTTTAAATAAAAGTACCAATAATTTGTACTTTAACATTCGGCAACTCAAACGATCCCACTTCTATTTGTTAAATCTTAGATTCTAATACGAAACACAGTAAGACTTTGTTCATAGTGTTGTAACCTAGGAAGGGTTACTGAATGAGGAATAACCAAAATGAAGGTTGGAAATAAAATGGTAATCTTTATAACATCAACAAAATACAATACTCGCCAGCGGCGTGATGTAGGTAAACTACTGTTCGTGGTGAACTACTTAGTATATTACCCCCACTTACAATAGTGTCCAACATATTTATGAAGATTGGGACACACCTATTAGTGTTCATAGGTACGCATATGAAACACATAGACAAGACAAAATACAATTTTTTAAAAAACAATTTTACCCCAAGCAAGACAATAAAGCCACTAAGATGCAAAGGGTTGGGGAGTGTGAAAGAATACGCGAAAAAGAAAACATTATTAAAGAGGGAGAACAATAAAAGAACAGAAATTAAGAATACAAAATATGTATATTAATCATTTCACTCAAAGAAAGACAATAAAACCACTGAGACGTAATGAGGTTACTGAGCGTGAAAGAATATGCGAAACATTATAAAGGAGAGACAACAATAAAAGAACAGGAATGAAGAAGACAAAAGAAAGCTATTGACATTGCATGTAATCTTTGAAGATCACGGTTGATTAGAAGCCAAGAGACCGGAAGAGAGTTCCACAAGCGAGAAGTGTGAAGGAAGAAACCATTAGCATGGAAGTTACGGTTACATCTAACTGTTCCAAATGTAAAATGATGAGACCTAACTGCCAATCAGGTACTTCGCTTAAATTCGTAAAGTCTAGGTCCTAAAAAGGAAATCTCATCAGAATAATTACCATGGAAATATTTATCGATTTAGATGTGATGTCTAAAACTGTATCAAAAATCTAAGAGATGCTAATCTTGAAGTTTTAATATGAGATTTGGCAAATCCTGTTCCTCTTCAATAAAAAATATTACTGAAAAGACTTTGCAGGACATAGTCATTGGCAAACCTCTGAAAAAATATTTTTCCTATATCCAATATTATTCAAACACTTGACAACTTTCTATTTTTGCTGTTGTATACGCAGAATTTCGGTTGATACATTCTTCGGCTTTCGTCATGTGTAATCCGCGACAGAAAAGAAACCATGAACTGAAAGTACAAGATATATCATAAAGTGATTATTAATTTGCTAACCCGTTTGGTCTATTCGTACACTGACAGGTACACCAAGTGTTCAGGTGATTCCAAGCGCTACAGCAAGGATAGTGGGCTCCGAAAAATCTATTCTGCTTAGCAAAGAAAAACCAGACAGTGTTGAAATCGTCGCTAGAACTTAAAAGGCGAGACGTTAAAAGGTTTCCTTTTTCACACAGACGACACCTGAAGAGAGGTGAAGAATATATCGTGTGAAGCATCGTGATAAGAGCAGCAAATATAAAGAGATTAAACGTTAAAAAAGATATTGGATATGATTGTTTTCAGATGCATAGGCTATATTTTCCTGTTCGAAAAGAAAATGCTTTAGTTTAATTAAAAAAAACATTCTGCTTATATTACTCTACGTATTACAAGAATAACGCGTTTTATTTCCTTACATCTAACCGTTTCATGTGTGACAGATAAAACAGAATTCTTTTTATGGAACTGTCATAAATTCTTTGAGTGATAACTTATATCTCACACGTGAGAAGAAATACTAGTCCGATATAAACATAAGGTATTGTATTAATGTTATCTTCCACCGGACATAGATTATTATTATTACTATCATTATTATTTATGTTATGTTTCTTGATTTGTATCCTTTACAGCCGGGTCCAAACTATGGTCCTTAGGCCCTGTAGCAGAATTGTCATCTAATTGATAGCACTTTTCTTAGTATATGGGATGTTCCTAGTAAGTCGATCTTCTGGGCAATTTGTATGTTGATGTTACCTGGGATACTGTTAGTAAAATTATCCATTCCTTTCCTAACGAGGCCCAGAGCTCTGATTACTATTGGTACAGTTCAGTTTTCATTTCCCACACTCTGTTAATCTCGATCTCCAGGTTTTTGTATTTGGACAATTTCTCGATAATTTTCATGGAGGTGTTTCACTCAGATGGTACTGCTATGTCAACTAGCATACATTTTCTGAATTTCTCTTCTTTTATGATAATATCAGGTCTCTCAGTTTGAATTGGCATATCCCAGAGGATAGTTACATCGTTATGTTGGCTAACTGTGTCTGGTTGGTGCTCATACCATCTCCCAGTGGTTTAGATTTTGTGCTTCTTGCATATCTTCCTGTGCACATATTATTATTATTATTATTATTATTATTATTATTATTATTATTATTATTTACTTTGATTTCTGTTGCACACATATTACCTTTCGGGTCACAACCAGAGACCTAAGATCAGAAATAACTTCCTGACATTTTCCACTGATTATTTTTGTAAAAGAAAAAAAAAAACAATAAAAAAAAGATCACACGCATTTTACATAGATAAAGCTCTTCGTAATGTGTGAGCTGTACATGTGAGTACATTTTTTTTGTTTTTTTTTTAAGACATGGGCTACCGGGAATCCCTTCAATGAGCCTATCGGAACATTTTCCAATCAATCTGAGGGCTCCAACTACAACTGGAATTAGTGATGTCCTCATGTGCCACATTTTTGAGATTTCCACATCAAGTCCCTTTTATTTTGATAGTTTTTTTAAGGTCTTCAAAGATACATTACAATCTGCAATATGAAAGTTCATTCTGTTTTTGTGGTTTTTCATTGTTCTATTTGAGTGTATTGTAAAGTCTCATAAAATTGTTAGTTCCTATCTCCGTAACCGGGTCGTCTTCTTCTTCTTCTTCTTCTTCTTCTTCTTCTTCTTATTATTATTATTATTATTATTATTATTATTATTATTCTGCTTGTTCCTTAGTCAGAATATACGTTATACCCTGCAAAAAGTTAATAAATAATGAACTATTCCGCTTTATCCCAAGGAAAGGAAAATACACATCAGAGAAGCCATTTGGTTTCAATAAAAAGAAAGAAAGAAAGAGGTGATTACGCTCTCATGTTTATTAACGTCTGATTTCCTGAAATGGAAAAACTTGTATTATTATTTTTATTATTATTGTTATTTAAATAAGTTAGCAAGCACGTACGTTACGCCCTGTCACTATCTCATAAATAATTCACTATTCCGTTTTGATCGAGAAGAAAGAAAAGACATACAAGAGAAAAGATCGAGCAAACGATAATGCTCTCATGTATTTAACGCCTGCTTCAGCGAAATGGAAAAATCATGTTATTATTATTCTCAACTTTCCCCGACTTGCGATTTGATACAACCTTACCACTTACCTGTGATAAAGAAAGTTTTTTTCCTAAGAATGTTATTGAACATATTGTACGGAGCAAGTTTTTTCTTAGTATGCAAGCGGAGCTCATGAACACAACCTTTTGTATCTTAGATAGTGATGAATTTACTGGGTTTTCTTAAAGTTTTTACCAGTGTCCTTTTCAGCTATCCCTGATACACCTATTAATACTGGAATAGTGGTTGTATTCAAATTTATATTCTTGCAGTTTTTATTCTCATGTTCTTATATTTTGAAGGTTTGTCAACTTCTTCCGTCTTAGTGCTTTTTATTAGACTGAATAACACTTATAATATAGCCTTTATGGTTTTTGAAGTCTTTTATTATTATATCTGGTCGTTGGCTTGTATAGTGTGGCCGGTATGCGTGGGGAAGTCACAACCTTCTAGCACTGATGATGGTTTGCGTTCATATCATTTTTCTGCAGGGAGAAGTTTATAATGTTTGTTTTTTATGGCTTATTAACCTTTTGCAGGTTATTTAAAGCCGGGAAATATTTTTAGATTTTAAGAACTTTTTGGAGATAATAATGATTTTTCTGATACAAATTATACTAATCAACCCATAAGTGGAAAGAGAATATGTGAATTCATAAATTTTTCAATGGTATTTGCGTGTAAGTGAATATAACGAACCCAACTGGAATTAAAACTTGGTACTCCGATTTCCAATTGCTAGTCGTTATAGATTACACCGCCCGCACATCCAAGCATACGGCACCTGCTATTTACAAGTGGTCCCCAATCTAGGTACTGACCACGCTCGACTCTACTTAACTTCGATGATCGTACAGAAACCGGTATTTCAACGTGATATAGCTGTAAGCCTAAAACACATACCTATTTCCTGAAAAGATACAGTTTGAGTCATTTCATTGAAATTTAAAGCTTATAGAGTTTTTAAAATCATTTCACTCCAAGCAAGACAATACAGCCACAAAGAAGCAAGGGGTTTCTGAGTGTTAGAGAATAAGAGAAAAATACTATTAAAGAGAGAGGACAATAACAGAACAAGAATTAATGACAGAAGATAAATTGCATTTAAATTCTTGAAGATCAAAGTTGATTGGGAAGCAAGAAGTCGGATGAGCTTTTCACAAGTGAGAAGAATTTACGGTTACATCATTTCAACTGGAAAATAATGAAACCTTGCCGTTGATCTAGTACTGCGCTTAAATTCATAAAGTCTAGGTACCATTGAGGAAAGTTCATCAAAACAATTACTATAAATGTATTCATAAAAAGGACACAGGAAAGTTACGTTACGGCTATGGGAAAATGACGAGATTCCAGATCAGGACCAGAATTAAAGAAAATTAAATTTAAAGATATTAATAAAATGAAGTTTTGGAGAGCCTTGATCTCTTACGTTCAAAAGGAGCACGTTTTTATAAACTAGAATCTTTCGCAGCTCGTTGACGTGTGATGGAATCCTCGTAGTATTTAGTATTCTTGAAGTTATCACTAACATTTTTGTCAAGATTTACAAACTCTATCCTTCGTCCGATTTCGTAAAGCAATCGATGAAATTTCAATAAGCTGATTAGTTTGAAAAATACTTTCACAAAAATCTTACTTCACGATTTATTAATTTCTTTAATTTAATTTTATAGGACTTCATGGTAAACAATATTTTTTCAAGAAATTTTCTTTTTTTTAACTTTTTACCAGCGAAGAATAAATTCTTCGGATTTCGTACTCTTGAGCATGCAACATACAGCAGGCTATATGTAAATATTTCTTTCTAGGGACAAATTCCAACTTTTTGAAGCGTTTGGCCTTGTGATTTGTTGTAAACAAATCACAACACAGGACGAACTGAAAACTGGATTTCTGTATATATCAAAACTTGATATGCAAAAATCAATATTTCATTTTTCTTAAGTAAGTACTGGTTATTCTAATCATTAAATTGTTTTTAAAATAGGGTAAGTATTTTGAATGTTAAATAATAAAACTTAATTTACCAAAAAAATGAATGAAAATTTATTGTACTAAGCGATGCACCCTAGTAAAACCAGCTATACGTTGTACCCGCTTACATGTTTGCACTTCTTCTCAGCAGTTGGTTTCGATCGGTCAATGCATACCTATTATAGAGGGCGTGACGATCGGACCGACGGACTAACGGAAGCCCCAGAATTTTATATATAAATATTACAAGTGTTATTGTAGCATTCCCGATCTGACTTTGAAATAATTTGTGAAAACAAATTACTCATACCATCATTCTTTCATTTTGTTTTTGTAAAAATTCAAGCTAGTTCCAGAATAACATAGTCAAAATATCAATGCTGGAAATCAGTTCCTTGTACTTTTGCTTCACTCTAAGTAGATGAGTCTGGCAATTTCTATCAATGTGGTTCTGAACATTTCCAATGTTTCTTTGTATCACCAAAACATTTGTACCATTAAAAGTCTTATCTTACCATTAAATAAGAACATATCGGCTGAGGTATAGACAGGGATCTTGAGCGTGGGTTATGATAAAAGCGGTATTAACCATAACGAGACGCGACAAGAGCGGGGAAGAGAGTGGGAGAGAGAACAAAATTTAAAACTTGAAATTCCTGATACGTGCAGGTGAAGCTTTTAAGGTCGTCTGGCTTAGGGGCATATCACATGTAAAGTATTAATAAATGAATAAACGCTTTCAAATCTTGGTTGGAATTCGAACATACAATAAGGTTTGATAACCTGAAAGAAGATCTGGGAACGAATAGTTAGGTAGTTAGGCATAAATAATTCTTTATGAATCTGGGAAAGAAAATATAGGCATAAGTAGAAAGCCCTAAAACACTCCGTTAAATCATAAAAAGAAAGAATTGAAGAGAAAAGGCAAAGAAAGATAAGAACAATTAAACTATTTTCTAGTTGATAATTTGTTATATAACTTTTTGTGGAGATACATGAAATACTTACGGACAGAGGAAACTTATATATATATATATATATATATATATATATATATATATATTAAGACATTTTTATGTTTATACATTCTTTTTATAGATACAAATATTTAAGTAAATGCTCTGTTTATAATAAACAGTATTAAACAACATTTACCGGACTGAAATTTTCTATGAAAATTTCTCGGACATTCAGGTCGGTAAATGTTGTTTAATGCTGTTTATTATAAACAGAACATTTACTTAAATATTTGTATCTATAAAAATAATGTATAAACATAAAAAAATGTCTTAAAATAATTCCGGACTTTGTCCATTTCATAATGTGAGACGTCATATATATATATATATATATATATATATATATATATATATATATATAAGTTTTCCTCTGTCCGATGGGTAAATTTTCGCCATTTTATATTATTAATCTCGCTTACGCGCGTTGTTGGTTTTTAATTTTGTCGACTGCACAGTATAGTAGGGACAATTGAACACCGTCTGTGAGAAAAAGAGCACCATGGCGCTATTCACTCCGCCAGAAAATTGGAAACGGCATGCTGTACTGCTTGGCATTTGCGCCGGAGGCTTCAATGTGAACATTTCAGAGTGTCTGGATGTCAATCTGCGGACGGTGGAGAGGATTCTGAAAGAGTTGGATGATATATGCAGTCAACATCATAGTGTTTGGAGTGATCACTAGTGATGACGACGTTATGCCTCCATTCATCTTCCCACAGGGCATCAGTGCCTTGAAGAGGTAGTGCTGCCCTGTGAGAGAGAGAGTGGCTGCTGGAAGATCCAATGTCTCACAACAGGACTCTGCAACATGTCACACAAGTAGGAAAACCCAGTCATGGCTGTCAGACAATTTCTGATATCACCCCTTACATCTTGCCACCCAACTCAACAGACTGCAACCTCTTTGTTAAATTATGTGTGGGAAGCAGTTGAACTACAGACCAGCAAAACTCCCTGTAACAATAAAGATGAACTGAAGACAAGGATTATGGGAGCATTCTCCAAATTAAACAAGGAGACTGTGCAAAAGAGTTGCAGGAGATTCCAAATTCGTTTGGAGTCCGTGGTTGAAACCAACAGCGATTTTATTGAACAAATTTGGTCTTTAGTATTTAAAGATATTTTGGATAATTCTGGTAAATATATCTGAGAGGTCAGTGTTATTTTTTATGTAATTTAGACGACAATTTATCCATCGCACCATATATATATATATATATATATATATATATATATATATATATGTATAAGACAAATCATATATATATATATATATATATATATGTATAAGACAAATCATATATATATATATATATATATATATATATATATATATATATATATATATGAGACAACTAATAACTGATACATCAAAATACAGACATAATGAACACGCAAACACCCCTTGTCTGGTTGAATTGGATTTCTCTGTATCCTTGGAAACGTGAATTATGATTTTTGCTGTGTCTTTAAAACCCAGTAATTTTAAAAATAAGTTACTCCTAAATTCGCTTGAGGATGAAATGGAATTAATGTCTTTAATTTAATTACAAAATTAAATTCGAAGCTTTTACCATCCATTTTTTAAACATAGTTAGAACTGTGTAGCGAAAAAAAACAACATATTTTAAATCAGTTGATTTATAATATTAATGCTCTGTAAATTTACATTGAGCACTATTTTGTAAAAATAAAAATATCTATAAGAACACCAGATTATATATCTTACTGTTCTTTCTTTTTATTTATATATACATACATACATACATACATACATACATACATACATAATTACTTAAACGCTATGTTCGTATCCTTCCATAAAGAGCATATTTTTCTTTGATAAGTTTTCTCGAATATTCATGCTGATAAATAAACTAAGCGTCTGCTCAAATATGGGTATGAACTAAAAATCACGTTTAAGTAATACATTATATATATATATATATATATATATATATATATATATATAAATTATTGCTTAAACGCTATTTATGTATATATATATATATATATATATATATATTATTACTTAAACGTTATATATATATATTTATTATTTATATGTATATATATATTATTTAATGTTATGCATATATATTACTGAAATCTAATATATATAAGTTCGATGAATTGATCGTATTTACGATTCCAATAGAATAAATTATGATCATAGAATATTAGTGTTTAAGCTTTTTTATTATATATATATATATATATATATATATATATATATATATATATATATGTGTGTGTGTGTGTGTGTGTGTGTGCGTGTGTGTGTGTATGTGTAAATTACTTTCAGATAGAGTGTATCTGCTCTGTAAAAGAACATGATGAATAAAAGAGGTAAAAGGAAAAACTATTCTTAGCCGACACGTTTCGTTCTGTGGGATTTATTTTGTTACACGTGTTTATATATAAAATCGTGACTGACGTTGGTTTATCACGGCTTTTAAATTCTTTACTATTTCTCGCTGACATTTTTTGCCAGACTTTGACATATTTTGACTGACTTTTCAACCACCTGATGAACATACATGACCGTTGTCAAATTAAAAAGCCCTGATAAACCAATGACATTCTTGGTTTTGTATATAAACATGTGTAACAAAATAAATCCTACATTGCTTTGATAAAGTCCCTCACAGGGCGAAAAGCGTATATATATATATATATATATATATATATATATAATAATTAAATAAATTATTACTTAAACGTTATTTTTACCTCATATCCGGAAGATTTCTCGAATATTATAAATCTAACATGTTTCGCTTTCATTAAAGCTTCGTCAGAGAATGAAATATGGAAGCGAAAAAGAAAAGGATGCTATTTTTTTATTTTTCTGTTGTTTGTTTTCCATTGGTTAAACAGACCTCATGTGC